CCCCGCTTCTTTGGGTCCATCTGAAGTTATTTGTCTACGTGTTGTCGCTCCTTCTGGATGACCGCAAGTAAGGATCGGTCTCTTGTTCACAGCGGGAACTCCCCTCAAAAAGAAAACCAACCCAAGCTGGCCCACCGACACCTCCCATGAACATTCTTTGAATGGTGTTAACTTATAATCTTCTAAGGTTTAAAAGCCTCTGGCTGGAAAAACCGAAGCAGGCCAGGTGTAGTGAAGGGTTGAGGGTGTGTTACTTGCATTCTGGGCCTTTCTCTTTTAAGTTTTTGTTTCCTTTTTCCTGGGGTATCCCTATCCAACTGTACCTGTTTAAACCACCCATTTCACCTACCCAAGTATTCCTTCCTTACAGGAATTTTCAGACTCAAGCATTCATGTAAGTAATTTTTGCTGGCTCCCACCCACCCGCTAGACCTCTGAATATAGGTCGTAATATAGCCAACAAAGGATGTATATCCAAAATACAGAAAAAGAAAGAGAAAAACCACCTGCAAATCCATCAGAGAAAGGCTAAAACTTAGAAGAAAAGTATATAAAAGACTTAACCAGAGCTAGGCCAGGTGGGTCACTCCTGTAATCACAGCTTCTGAAGAGCTAGAAGTTAGATGGTGAGTTACAGGTCAGACACTATCTCAAAAACAAAAAATACAAGAAGAAAATGGGTGTGGCTCTTAGTGGTAAAGTGTCTGCCTAGCCTGTAAGATAAATGGCCCAACAAACATATAAGGTTCTTAACTTCTTTAGTCATGGGGAAATGCAAATTAAATCCATAATAAAAAATCATTACTGATATAGTTTGAGTCTTTAATGCCCTCATCCCCTACCCCCAACTCCCATATGTTAGAGGCTTGATTTCAAAGGTAGTGTTATGCAGGCTGGAGCTGTGGCTCAAGTGGAAGAGTACCAGCAGAAAACAAGAAAGCTCAGCTGAGAGTGTGAGGCCCTGAGTTCAAGTCTCAGCACTAGCACAAAAAGAAAAAAAAGGAAAGAAAAAAGAAAATAAAAAGATGGTGCTGTTGCTTGGCGGTGGTAGAGCCTTTAGAGGTCTGGGCCTTCTGAATGGTCCTTGTAAGTTGGTTTGTTAGTGTAATAGTTAATTTTAACTAACCCGATTGGATTGAGAAATTCCCAGATTAATAAAAGCATCCTCTGGAGGTTGTTTATGATGGGTCAAGTAGAACATGGGGGCTCTGACTTGATGGATTAATCCCTTGATGGGTTCATAATGGAATGATGCTATGGGGGGGGGATTAAGAGACAGGAAGTAGGACCTAGCTGAAGGAAGTAGGTCATCAAGGGTGTGTCCTTGGGGGTTATATCTTGTCCTTGCTCCTTCTTATCCCCAGTCTCTGCTACCTGTCCACCAAGAAGAGAAGAATGGAAGAATGTCCTCACTACATGCTCCAGCTGGTGTGTTACATTCTCCCCAAGTACACAGGGCCAAGTAAGCCTGGACCAAATGCTCTGAAAACGTAAGCCCAAACAAATCTATCTTAGTCAGAGCTGTAAGAAGTAACTAACACAGTTTTCCATCCCTGTGACAAAATACCTGAGATAAATCAACTTAGGAGAAAAGGTTTATTCTCCAAGGTTTCAGTCCATGGTTGTTTAGTTCCCTTGCTTTTGGACTTGTAGCAAGGTAGTATGTCATAGTGGGAGTATATGGCAGAGGACATTCATTACCTAATGGCAGCTAGGAAGCAAAGAGAGAGCCAGGAAAGAACTAGGGACTCAATATCCCCTTTAAAGGCAAGGGCCAATGATCTAACTTCCTTCCCACAGGCCCCACCCCCAATGACCTAACTTCCTTTCCACAGGTCCTTTATCTGAAAAGTTTCACCACTTTCCAGTAGTGCTACCTAATAGGCTGGTGACCAAGCCTTTAGCATAGGGTTTTAGTTTGTTCATTTATTTCTGTGACCATCAAGCACTTTGTATGATATCACGCTCCTGGTATAAATTAATGAAGGTTGGTTGCTATTTATTTATTTTTTTTGTTGGTCATAGGGCTTGATAGCATAAGGTTTTAGAGGACACTTCCAAACCATAGCAGTTCATTATCTAGGGTATTTGTTATAGTGACAGGAAACTGAGACACTCAGCTTACCAAATGAGTGGCTAAACTTTAATTTTAAGACAAGACTATTAACAAGAATACTGAGCAAGGGTTGGGAAGGTGGCTCAGTGGTAGAGCACTTGCTTTGAATGCATGAGGCCCTGGGTTCGATTCCTCAGCACCACATAAGCAAAAAGAAGTAGAGCACTAGCCTTGAGCTGAAGAGCTGAGGGACAGCACCCAGGCCCAGAGTTCAGGCCCCACGACCGGAACCAAAAAAAAAAAATACTGAGCAACTGGAATTCCCTCACATTGTTGGTTTGTAGTCTGTTAGAAGTTGGGATTCCCAGGCAACTGGTCCTGGGATGAAGAGAGTTGATTAGGGAGTGCACTGCACTGCAGAGGAAGCTGCAGGGTTGGGCAGAGGGAGGGCTTGAGATGTCACCTCAAAAAAGCCCCCTCTTAGCTGGACGCAAGCGGCTCACACTGTAATCCTAGCTACTCAGGAGGCTGAGATCTAAGGATCACGGTTCAAAGCCAGCCCAGGCAGGAAAGTCCATGAGACTCTTATTTCCAATGAATCACCAGAAATCTGGCAGTTGCACTGTGGCTCAAGTGGTAGAGCACTAGCCTTGAACTGAAGAGCTGAGGGACAGCACCCAGGCCTAGAGTTGAACCCCAATGACCGACAAAAAAAAAGCCATCTCCAAGAGCTCTGAATCTGGGGTGACCCTTCCAAGCTATTCCAAGTGGCAATGCAAAGAGGACCTTTATGTCCTCAGCACTCATAAACTAGGCATTGAATAAATTAAAGGTATTTCTGGGAAGTGAGGTGACCTTGGCTCTCTTCTGCTGAAGCAAGTTCTCAGCTAGCAGTGGATGCTCACTGAGCAGGATAGGTCCTCAATGATTCTGTGTAGTTTGACACACAACTCTTGGAAACCAGAAATTCTAGTCCCAT